ACAACCTCGCATGTGCACGTCTACGTGTACAAGCGCGAAATTTCACATGCACTATTTTCGCCGGTCGCTTAGCTGGAGGAGGACAAGCGATTGCCGCCTCACCGCACAGGCTCCATAGGAAATGAATGGAGAGAGAGCGACGTCGCCTCCCGTGTGCCGAGCCCTTAATGGTTGACTGAGAACATCACACTTGTTTTAATGAAGACAAGCTGCTGTGGATCTCACTCAAAAGCTCCTTTAAAATGTTTATAAATCTTTACGGCACCTTACGCTTTTTGTTCTGGTTCTGCTCTTTTGCACTTTCTTGTGCTAATTTTAGCTTTTTTCTGCTATTTCAGCTAAAATTCTGCTTCTTTCTGCTATTCTTCTGATTTTTTTCTACTTTTGTGCTTTTCTCTGCTATTTATACCTCTTACAGATGCTTTTCGCTATATTCAACTATTTGCTACAATTTTAGATAATGTTCAGCTATTATTAGCTAAAGTTAGCTTTTTTAACCTAAAACCRTTTTTTGTAGGTATTATGACTTTTTTCTGCTACGTTCAGCAAACTTGTGCTTCTTATGCTTCTTTATTCTAACTAAAGAATTTCCAGCTACTTTTAGCTGTTTTACTGAAAATGTTGTCTATTTTAGCTATTTAACTACAAATTGTCACTTTTATGTACTGTCGTGGACAGTACATAAAATTCAATTGTTTCTACAACACTTTCACTATCTGGGTGCTAATTATAACGTGGCTGCTACCTTTAGCGTATTTTATGCTAATTTGAGCTTTTTTTTTTGCTATTTTAACAATAGATCTGCTTCTTTTTCTATTCTGCATTTGTTTTATTTTTGTTTTTTTTCTGTTATTTCATGCTGTTTATGCTTTTTACAAAAGCTTTCTGCTATATTCACCTATTTTAGCTTTAGCTGTTTTCTGCTATTTAAACTATTTATTTCCTCCTTTTTATCGTTTTGCTACAGAAGAGCATTGCATTTGCCAAATAAAAAAAAATAGGACTCCTGATCTCATAATTACAGGATCAGCATCTCATAATTACGAGAAAAGATCTCATAATTACAAGATCCTGATCTCGCACAAACATAACACAGTCATTTAGCTGGTAGTGGTACTTCCGGTTTCGGCGACTGGATATTTCAAAATAAGAGTCTGATACAACACAGTCTGAAAAAAAAAAACACCACAGAGATGGTATGATGCTGTATGGATGATAGTATGTCGACATTACACAGGTATCTTTCTTGCCGATGTTCAAGTGAAAAGCCCACTCTGACATACAGGAAGTCGCTCTCTTCCTGCAGGACGGGATGCTAYGKCTATAAGTAGCTAATGCCTCTAATGCTTAAATTACGTCCTGTACTGTATGTACACAAAGAGCACAAACACTTCCTCCTGTTTCAACCCTGGGTCACAACTTTATTTAACTCTGGTGAATGAGCATTATACAGCTTGTTCTGGGCACTCGTGCGTTCGGCATTACACACATAYACGTCCAGGACCCTTACCTGCTCAAAAYCCACAGGAGATCAGGATCTCGTAATTATGACATCTTATCTCATAATTACAAGGTCCTGATCTCGTAATTGTGAGATCAGGAGTCAAATATTTTTTATTAGGTTAATGCAATGCTCTTACCTACAGATTGAATGTTTTTGCTAATAAATATTTTCAACTCAATTTCCACGGTGTAGTGTCTAAGAGTGAGGGCCTCTTCTCAGGAATGCACAGATGTGTTATGCCTCTCTTGGTTCTCCAGCTTCAGAGCTTGGCACATATTACCATATTCGGAAGAGGAATGCTTAAGTTATACGTGACAAAATTTATGGTACATCTGTGAAGCCTATAAAGAGCCTTGTACACCCCCACCCTTAGCCTTCGTACTTCATCTTTCTTACTGGGTGAATCATTTGGCTTGGAGGCCACAATTTGGTTTTTGGCTGTAATCTCCTGGACTGCAGAATAAAGATTCTTGCTGTTCAACCAGCCTGTTTCAGAGTTTCTCTCTTCATTGAGCAGCAGCAGTTTCCACAGAACCAGAAGACGTGGTTATTTCACCTCAATTGCTTTCAGCTTATGTTTACAGCAAGAAGCATTCACACTAGCATTTTCACAGGAAATGCAATTTCTGTGGTTATTATTTGTTTATTGCTTACCTTTTAATATGTAGTCAGTCAGCAGTGTGGGCACCTTCTCACTGTCTTCCTTCATGGCATAGAGAACTGTACAGAAAAAGAGATACGCTTGTTTCTCATGAAGCATTTAGAAGTTAAACTTTAACCCAAACGGTTGGTCTGGATTCTTACTCTTTGTGAGCATCTGCAGGTCRTCAACAGATGGAGGAGTTCCTTTCTTCTCATATGGAATCACAGTGTTTAGATACTGAAATCA